TTCTTTATGCACCAAGAGCTTGTAACACTCCAAAGAGAAATGAAAAATTTAAATAGCATCATATGACCCCTTTAAGCCTAGTCCCAGACTAAAATTAAGTCTGAGCGGTTTCAACTGAAAGAAACTTGAACTATGAAAATTCAACTGAAAGTTCTAATTGAACTATGGCCTAATCCTGGCGTAGTCTTAGCACTGTCTGTGAAACCAGGCCTTTGATTTTTATTTTTAAATTGTTTATTTTAATCTTTCAGTTTTATGATTTAATTAATCACTAGCTTTTCATCAACACAGATTTTCTGCAACTCTTCAGTCTAAAACTTTATGACATCCTCCACAGATTTGGCAATGCACAAAGCTGTCACTGTAGCCATTTCTTCCAAGCAAGTTCATTCACAATCAGTCTGTCATCTGTGGTTAATTTCAGTTACCACCGAAAATAATTTTGGCTTTACATGTATGTATTTTGTAGACACGTTTTCAGTATTACATTTACAGCGGAAGCTTAGCAGGCTCATTTCCCATGGGCTTTTACAAATTGAGGGAAAATGCATATACTGTAGATATAGGGAATGCCATACTGTTAATGCATGTTAAGTTTAAAATAACCAAACCAATTTTTAAAAGACAGAATAGATCATATAGCTCAAGCTATTATATGGTAACTGTAAACAAATCCAGACATCTTACCTGGCTCCGGTGACATCGACCCCAACCATCAGCTGTCCGTTCAGTGACAGAAGCTCATCTCGCAGTTTAATATCTCCACAACGGGCTGCTGGGCTATTCTTTCTCACTTCAGTCACCCAAATACACCCGACGTCCAAGACAGGGCCTTTATCGCCCTTCCTGCGCCTCCTCCTGACCCCTTTCTTCTTCCCCTCGGGGTCTCCAAAAATCGGAATATTTCCAAAGCTGAGCCCGAACTCCGGTCCATCTTCCTCAGACTTGCTCAGGTAGACTGCCCTCACCTCAGCATCGATTTCCTCTCTGAATTGGCTGCCACTGTACAAAGGACTCTCAACTTCAGCAAAGTTTAGCTGGATGTATTCCACAAGCTTACGGATGGCAGCCTGGCAAACACCGCCTGCGCTAGTCCTAGGCTCATTGCCCTCATCTCTGTCCTTTTGTCGTGCCCAGAGCCAGTTCTCCAGCAGAGGTAGATGGCTCAGGGCATTTTCTTGGGTGATAGGCATCCTAGCTGCTGCTGCTGGGCCTGCCTGGGCTGCCCCTGCATGTTGAGTCAAGGCTCTCCAGTGGTGGCTGTAATCAGGCGCATTAAAATGGCTTCACATTCCTCTCAAAATGACACAGTGACCTCACAGACTTCAGATCCAGAGCGCTGCCGCCCATCGATAATACACTCAGACCACAGAGGTCCATGATGTCATCCGCAGAAACAAAAGGAAAGAGCAGAGATTGAGGAAGTAGGGCACGTTTATGCTTTGAGGGGTAACAAGAGAACGTGTGCCATTAGCGGGTTGTCTTGGTGTGTGCCAAATCTGATTTCCAATACCATTAAAGTGGAAAATTGCAGATCGCTGGGAGTCGAGATCTATCCTGACTCACAGGCGCCACAGACGTCCACCTAATCAGAAAGAAAATAAATAGAAATGCCATTACAAAGCAAGTCAGCAGGCATGAACTCATGTTAAAGCGCTGCAGTCATGGCTCATTTGCTACTCAACCACAGTACGGACAGGAACAGAAATTGGCTTAAGTATGACAACAAAGAAAGCTTCCTATATACCAGCTATTTTATTTGACTGACAGAATTCATGAACTGGAAAAGGTTCCAATAACAGTCTTATGGCCTTTTTACAGATGTGTCATTTGGTTGTTTATACAGACATTCAGTTGAGGCAGAATCAATGCAGTTGAGATTATTCGATGCACAGTGAGCAGACAGAAAGGAAAAGCAAACTTCCTTTCAGTACTTATTCACCTTAACCTTGTGGAATGTAACCTGACAATAAATGCTGAAACTGCCAGCCAGATGTTGTGATGGTATAGCTCAAACTCTTGGACTTGCAGACCACATTTCTGGCATATTTAAGTATATGCTGTAGACAAAAACCTCAATCAAATTGCTACTCTGGGGTTTTGCTCAAAATAACACGATTTTGGCCTCTGTGAGCATCACACAAACTACTAGGCCTCCCATATGAAATCAAAAACCTTTTAGTGAGATAATGGAGCATTTACATTTAACAATATATCAACTTTACATTAATGTCCATTACTAGGAAAAAAATAGATTAAACTGTGAGACGATTACTTAGGACAACTATATCAACAAGAGGGGGGATGTACAACCAACTGACAGCTGAAGTCATAAGGATCAGACTAGAAGAGTAAAATGACAGCTAATAGGACAGAAGCCACCACCCCTTTCAAGAGTTTAACCTCAATAACTCACATGAAATATATAAATGGCAATTCTAAAACATGTCTATCAACAACTAGGCATGCACTAATGTCATTGATAATATGAGTAATTAAAGCAAAATTACAATATTGCATATGAAAACATGCTTACAGTGAAGCTTTGTCTTTCCACAGGAATGTGACACACTTATTTGTCTGTTAAGAGATGTCCTTACATACACTACAACTGTTTCCTACAATTTACTAGATTACTTTAAAATGAAAATTGAAAAAAAAAAATTGCTCTTTAAAACACATTTATCAGCATCCTATCAGCTCCTACCTTTTCACATTTTTTGAGATTTTATTTCTTACTCCATTTAAGCACATAGACGCTATGCCTCTCGTCGTGGTGTACTGTCACAGTGACACAGAAGATCTGCAAACCCCAGACGCACCCTCTGAAAAGACCCACATGTAATAGGATTAGTCTCACCCCTCCTTTGTGGCACTTATAAACACAATGACCCCCCATTTTCTCTTTGGTTGAGTCGTGAATGGCCAGTTCAAGTGTTTATATTTCTGCCAGCAGGTCATTCATGATTATTGATGTTTTTGTTCCTCACATAAGAACAACTTCTTTAACAAAGCAAATGCAGATATATAAAACACTGGCACACTTGAGCAACTATTTTCTATTTGAATATATTTTACAATGTCATTTATTCCTGTGATGGCAAAGCTGAATTTTCAGCAGCCATTATGCCAGCCTTCAGTGTCACATGATCCTTCAGAAATCATTCTAATATGCTGATTTGGTGCGCAAGAAACATTTTGTATTATTATCAATGTTGAAAACATTGAAACTATTACTTTTTCAGGATTCTTTGATGGACAGAAAGATCAAAAGAACAGCGTTTATTTGAAAAAAATATTTTGTAACATTATAAACGTCTTTTTACTGTCAGTTTTGTTCATTTTAATGCATCCTTGCTGAGCCCAAATTTTAAGGGTGAGGAAATTTCATTTCTGGGGGAACTGTTCCCCCCCATAAAGTGAATGGTACTCATCAGGTGCTACTTCCTCCTGTCCAGTGACTGTAAAGTGTCTGCAAACATTCTTAAGCCATTGGCACTGAGAAGAGCTTCTGCCAACGACAACATCCCCTTGAACAACCTCATGATGAAGAAAGAAAGCTGTTGTTCTCCATTGAACTGACCCATATTTAAGGCCCAACAAAAGGGATTAAAGCTTTGTACTCAGCTCTATCCACTGCAGAGACACAATAATACAAGAACTGCATTTGATAGTGTGACGAGGAAACCACGTGTCACTAGTAAAAACACAGACAAAATGCGATCAACAACTGGATGATTATGGCTGCAAAACCATGAATTCCACATGGTTAGAATAAAACATCCTTTCATATTAAAACAACAAAATACTTAATGTCATCAAAATCAGGCCTTACATCCTGTCACACATAGATTTTAAAAAGAACAATAAAAAAAGTTTAAAGATGTCTTATATGGCTAATAATGACCGTTAAAGTCTGTGCTTGGGTCTCTTAGATTTATTAAAACAGTAACTTTGTTTCAATTAGACCAGAACAAAACACTTCTCCAGCTTAGCCAAACAATGACATAAAGGAAGCTGAACTGCCTGAGCTCAGAGCTCTGTAAATACACTCAAAATAAAAAGAAAGAAATGAGAGAATATTTCAAAGAGAAACACCATTCCAATGCTGAACTCCAGAGTTCAACCGAATTTGTCACTCTGTTAGGGTGGTCTTTCAACTCCTCTTTGTTTTATCCATTAGGATCACATTACTGAGCTCTCTCGTCATTTAATAGAAGCGTTTATCATGGACGTGGATGTTTTCATCCTGAAACTTTCCTCCACTTCGCATACGCAGACTTCACAAACAAATCAAGCAAGCTCACACTGTGAAGTGATTCATGAAAAAGAGGAATACCTCGAAAAATGAATGCTGCGGTCGGAGAACACTGACTGACAAATAATAAAGTTGGATGCCAAATGTGGAAACATGAATTAACTTGAGTTTTCTAAAGAAGGGCCATACTGCCACTAATCACAGAGGTCTTGCTGAGAGCAGCCGTAAACGGACTCACTCCAGCATGAGGTTCTGCCCTCAGGCCCACGTCAGTGCTTTATAATCTACAGCCATCGATTATGGGGTGGACTGCAACTCTTCTTTGATCTGGCAAATGTGATTCTTTACGACTAAAGTAATGGGCTTCATTATTTATAACTCAAATATATTTGAGTTGCCAAAATAAATAGATCTTTCTCAACAACATACATCTATTCATGCATGGGACTGAGCTATTTGTAATGCTAAACAGTATGTTTTGTTAGTTAATGAGGCACTAGAAGTACAGGATACATTGTAGTTGTATGATTGTACCCTAGTTCACGCACGCTACTGTCAGATCGCCAACAAAGACTGGTTAATAGAGCAACAAATTGTAGCTTCAAAGTGTCTACAAGCAACTAGAAACCGAGACTACATTTAAAGCATTTAAAGTCCTTATTTGAGTAGATGTAGCACATTGAGAAGCATGTTGAGTCTAGAGGAAATCCCCACAGTGCTGTTTGTTAATAATGTGAATGCAGATGGACAATGCTCAGGGCATGTAGCTCTAATCCTGACAGTGGGTGGAGGGGTTACCCCACAACTGACCAAATATGTAGGGCGAGGGCTGCAGGTGAAGAGGAGGAATATCCAGTGAAAAAAAAATTGTAGGATTTACTTTTTTACAATTGTCACTCAGAAATTGCTGCTAAAGTTCGTAAATAAGTACAAAGAAATGGCAAGCAACACTTTGAATTAAACCTATAATTTTAATGTAGAAATTCTAAAATAGTATTTTCTTGTAAAACCCATCCAATCATTTTTGTTTTATTTACAACTTTGAAAAATCTTTATAAATATAATAAATATAATAGAATTTTTATTTATATTTTTACACATACATATGTTTTAACAAATGTTATTAAAATATGTTTAAATTAGTTATATTTTATAGCTATATTTAAAATTTTCATTTATATTTATAATTACATTTACAATTAAATAGTGCTATGGCAAGTGGTTAAAAAAAAACAATCTATATGCATTTACTAAGTTTTTATAATATGCATTTATTAAATATTTTTATATAATGGCATTGTGGTTTTCGTGATCCTGTTCATGGTTTTTACAAGGCTTGTTGACAGCATTACAGCAGCATATTATTTTCCATGATCGTACTGACACTTTATGCCACAGCCAACAGAATGCACCTTTATACAATAGCTGAATGTGGCTTTAATGGCTTCATGCTACTCAATCACTCAGTATCAATTAGTTTCTTCGGCAGCCAACTACTTCACAACAGCTTTACTCAAAGACCTTCCAGTGCATTAGCTATCTAATTCCTCCAGCATCTGATTATTAAAAGTCTAAATAGTGGTCTACAATGAGTGACAGACAAAGAAAAGCAATCATTATATATGGCTATGCTTTCAGTCTATTCTATTGCATTTTCAAATTTAAGGGGGTCATATGATGCGATTTAAATTTTTCCTTTTTCTTTGGAGTGTTACAAGCTCTTGGTGCATCAAGAAGATCTGTAAAGTTGCAAAGACTAAAGTCTCAAATCCAAACTAGAGGCCGCTCTCGCACTGTATAATGACAGCAGACCCTTCTCAGCTGCTCCAGCAATGGACGCAACCCGGAAAACTATCGGCATGGATTTTTGCCGATAACCGATAGTTCCAGCAATCAACTATCGGTGCCGATTAATCGGCAAAACCGATACATCGGTCGACCTCTACAAAATACTGTTCTTTTTAGCAGCATCATATGACCCCTTTAATGTGGCAGTTGCAGCAAATATCATCTGATTTATTTACTCTCATTAAATCAGTAATGGAAAGCATTTGTGGCACTCCATACAGATGATTGAATTTTGAATCAGATTATGATTACAGACCATTTAATAAACAACACAGCCCAAAAAAATAGCAATGGAGCCCCAACATAGTAAGATTGGACACAAAACACACTAACCAGGAGTTCAGACGAAGATGATTTAACCAACAGACAGCTGTTCAGCTGACAACAGTATGACACTCCTCAGCAACAACAGATGAGAGAATGACATTAAAGCCCGTCTCTGTTTGCAGACACAACGTGCGTTTTATCTCATAAATTAG